GATTCATAATGAAGAAATCGGTAGTATAAGCTGTTTTATTTGGAATGTTTCTGAGACATATGATTCATTACACAAAAATTACAAATTAAATGTTGTGATGTCTCAAATAATGAGTCATTGGTTTAACTTTCATCTTCCATAATTGTTAACCAATCTCAACCGCATGGTTTGAACGTTGCCAAACGAACCCCCCTTGTTGTAACTATTGTCAGAATGTTGTGCAGAAGTTATTGCGAAGTATAGCAGAAAACTTATGCGCAACTGCCAGAATATTGTAAAGAACTCATGTGAAATATTGCAAAGCACCCCTGATCTAATAATTAATCTTATATGTACTGTCGAGAAATTTCTAAACCACTCCCACTATAAAAAGAGCTAAGGTCGACGCTCTGGGCTTCTCCTCTCTCTTGGCTCATGTGAGATCGATTCTCAAGGTCTTTTCCTTGACATCAGGATTTGTTAAAGTTTTGCTTCTTAACCTTTCCACTTAACACAGCCGATTAATTGTGCCCGTCCACCCACTCAGCCATATTCAGTATTCGCTGATATTGTCCAATAATCTCACCAACAGATAAATCTTTCTACCACTAACTTTTTGACACTATATTATTCCTATCACTCAACAAGAACGAATTCATCGTTAGAATAAAATATTTTCACAAGTCCTCAGCACACAAATGAGATTCGTTGCGTCGACGCTCAGTAAACACCCTGATACCAAATAAAAAGTAAATACACGTGATTTCTGCAATTCTTTATTTTGTTCTGCATGTCATTTATTTTATGATTGAGATCTATGGCATTACCGACGAAGTTATGCTTGTACTTCGAGGAACATTTGCTCGACCATTTTCGCCCAAGACAGGCCCTGGAACGATTCGGAAACGCGGTCCACTACCCGTTGTTGAAACCGGAGGCGCGGGTACTGCTTCGCCCATAAAATACTGGAAATATAAAAGAGTTGTTCACCGAAAAAAAAGAGTGTAACTTTTTCCTAATATTTAACATCTTTGTGTGGTAGTTGGAAATAAGGGACGTGATGAAGTGCTACAACTTCTAATTGCTTTGAAATTTCCTGTTTTTCCAGATATGCCAGCTTTTCAACTTTCCAATATTTCGCAGTAATATGGAAAAAGTTCTACACTATTATCATTAATACAAACTTAAAAAGAATTTTGGTAGGCCTTAAATCATTCTTTTTACATATTAGCTGAGGAGCACGGACTACCTGGCCTTTAGGGAAAGTGTTTTCCGGTTTATTTGAAACTACGTGGAATATTTTTCCCGACCGCTTGGGACCACCCAACTTTATTCGTTATTGTAACCAACTGGAGTAGTAGAAATGGAATTTTTTAGGAAATCGCTATCACATATAAATAAAAACAATAAATGGACAGAAGCACGAAAGCAAAACATAACAGTCCTAGGTATGCATTGACTAGCATAATTCCATCAAAATTCAATTCACAAATAGAATTGGATTCACATGATACGAATAATTAACTGATACAATTTAAAAAGATTTCAAACAAATGTTAAGCTTTTCTCCTGCAGACGAGCTGTAGAATCGCATTCCTTCCAAGACCTGGAGGTAAAGGAATTTGATAAAATATAAATAGTAATCGTCGCAAGAAAGGTCCGAATTTCTGGTGTTGAATTGTTCGATGGAAATAAGCTTCAGTTTCAGAAAAAACTTATTACCTGACGGTAAAAGAGGGGTAAAAATCCTGACATGTAATAATCATGCAAACTATCCATGTTATCCATGTTACCAAGAGCAAGCAGACCGGACACGAATAATTAAGAGAAATAAGGCTTCTTTCAGTAAACACCAAAATTATGCAAATTTTGGTAAATAGTTAATAAAGTAGCATTTTATGCAAATTTCTCAAGTTTAAAAAATTGCGAAATAATGGTACCATGGATGTTTAAAAATGGTCTATGCAGGAAAACTTGAAAATGATCGGATCTTAATGTAAAACGAGTCAAAACTATTACTCTGCAATCAACCGTTTTCTTTAACAGGTCATTTAGTTCGGTGGAATGCACTCGTACTATTTTTTAATAATGTTAACAATCTAACATATTCACTATCCACTTTATAAACCATAAGGAATGTAGACAAGTCAGGCGGTGGCAACACTTTTGCATCCTGTTAAAATAACTTTTTGAATAAACAGCTATCTGACCTGCGAATTTGACATCGTCTCTTGTAGCAACATTTTAAAGACTATTCAACGTGAGTAACGATTTATGAAAAGAAAACAAAAAAAATAAAAATAAAAAAAAACGAAAACTCTAGGCAATTCATCTAAACTGCTTTCTGAATTACGGCATGACAGCCTAAAATGACAAAAGTGACCATCCTGTAAGGACAAAAGTAACACTCACCGGTAATTTTATTTCGCTTTTAAGCATATACTTTTAAGCATATTTTACTTCGCTTTTAAGCATTTCATTTTAATCATGATACATTAACATTTATGCCAACTGTATGCCACATATACAACTTCAAATGAAGTAGGTAACAGTTAACTTCTATTGTTGCGTTGTAAGCGCATAAAATTGGCTCATGAAGGACGTTTTGACATAACTATATCAACATCATTTTACAAAGCTATGAGGAATATTCAAAAATATCGGTGAACGTGCAAGTACATGGGGTGATCATTTATTATCATAGCAGCAGTGCATCTGTAGAATTGTTAGGTAAAAAAAGCTCCATTTCGTGGATATTGACAGCAACGACGAGTTGGAATTCATCAGTTCCGGAGAATAAATAGCAGGCTCTAAACGTTATCTATTTTAATGTTAAATAGAATTAATAAACTGAAGCTTGGTGAAACAGAAAAGGTGGTGCATCATGCATAGGATGTAGTACTACAGTCACAGAACATTTCATTCCAATCTTTAGCCAGCCGAAGACTTTTCGCCTGGAAAGTTGCGTCTCTGCACTGCAGGGAGTAGTGGATCAGACACAAATGCCATTTTTATAGTGCTTCAAAACGCGGAAACAGATAATTCCCTTTCACGGGATAGCGTTGCCGCTAAAGGATGCAACATATTTCCATCACGCGCTAGGTGTAAGTAGCAAGTTTAGACCTAACTAGCAGTCACAGATCCCTCTCCACATTTTCAAAAATTTTATTTCAATGAGTGGTGTAACATGTACTCGTCTTGCAAGAACCACACATAACAATACCAATTACAGGAAAAGTCAGCTGTCGGGAAGTAAGCACAGAGTCTCCAACAATCGCACCTGTACCCCACCCACCACATACCGCTACACCAAATCCAAGAAGAGGCCATCCCCTAATGGAGGTTGTATTTAATCGCGGCCCATTAAACATGGCATACGCATAGTGTAAAATCAGCGCTTTAATGCTATCGGATTGTGGTGCGATGGTGGTTGGGAAGGGTTGTCGATCCGTTGTTACATGAGATTACGCCAAACCTTAACTTACATTCTAACCTCATTTGTCATTAATTTAGCAGAGTATTCTTTGGGATAATATCCGTTGGAAAGGTTTCAGAACAGAAGAGATTTGAAAGTAGTGGTTGCAAGTAAAGCAAGCGTAACAAAGACCGAAAGTTCTGGGTTGTTAGCGTTTGTGTTTATGTGTTAATATTATTATGTGAGTTATGTAAAGCCAATAATTATGGAAGAGATGAAAGCAAATAGGTTGCCATCCCAGATATCTGGTGGCTGGTATTCACATTGCCGCAAATTAAATTGATTTTTAGAGGTGCTAAATATATTAAAGTGTGACTTGAAGTTATAGGCGAGGAGATTATGTATTTGCTGTTCTCATCAATTTTAATTGGATACAGACACTTTTTTTCAATAAAATGATATGGCCACTGTTACTCATTTAGATATTTCTATTAACCATCGTGCAAATACTGAAGTTTTACGGCTAAAAATTGTGGAATATTACAAAATTCAAGCAACAACATAATGTTTTGCTTACAAACTTGGTGTTTGGTGCCACAATCACTTTTTGCATAGTACTGGCTTCTTTATATGTATCGGAAAGTTCCAACGAGGAAGTGACTGCATTTAGTAATTATGCACTGTTTAAAAAGCACAAAGTAGCGAATTCCAACAAAATCTCGTGGTATTTCGATAGTATACGAAAGTAAACAAATAATGGTATTGAATTGGAACTATTAAGGCAAATGATATAGTTTAAATACGTTGACACTCTTTTTTGAAATATTTTGACATATTTTTCGTTTGTATTTTGTGAGTGTACAACACTTTCGCCTATTTTCGCTTTTCCAGCTGCTGACTGAAGCTGACTTAAACTTCTAATGTCCTAAATATCTAATATATATATGTCTAATATATACAATATATATATGTCTAATATATACTTTAGTAAACATACATGTATATATATATATATATATATATATATATGCATATATATATATATA